TTTTTACTTTCATGATAAATTTTATACACTCAGCTCTAGGCTAGGTGATACCACATTACGTCTTTACTTTAGGCTTATTATACCAACACTCACATTTATAAGGTTTCAAGGCGCCCCCCCCCCCCCATCTCTGTCACCGTGCACCTCCGTCACTAAAATCGTAATGGACAGACAATAATCGAACTGTTCTATCTGGACAAATGCATTTTGTCTTCTTTTATGACTCCGCCTACTTCGAGAAATAAATCGTGACGTGACACACGCTGGTTTTTATATGGGTTAGATGTATTTTGTGTTACTGTTCATAAATCTAATTGAATAGGTATTCAACCACAAAACATGTAGGATACTAAAATTTAAAAAGGAAGACCGAACATGGCCTAGTGGTTCACATCCCGTTTCTGAAAATATTCGCTTCGTATCGTGAGCGCCCGCAGGAAGGGGCAAGAGAGGGCATTTGACCCCTTATATTTCACAAAAAAATTGCATATGTTATGATATAAAGTTAACATCGTAGTTAAATTAAATATCTTTAGTATTTTTTATTAAACTGTAAACTTGTGTTTGCGTTTAAGCACACATAACATATTTTTAGTCTGTTGACTTACACTGTAAAACCCGATCCCCTACATACATATTTTGCCCCCCTCCCCCTGAAAATAATTCTGTACGAGCAAAGGTACAGAAGAATACAATAATATGACAACCGCAGTTGCAATAAACTTGTTTAAAATTAGGGATGGTTATGAGCTGATAGCCCTTAAGTAGCTTTGCGCAAAACCATAATGTAAACCAAAACGAAACAAAAAGGGAAATTATTTCCCTAGAGCATAATCATACAGTGACAAGGTTGAGAGGATGAAGCAACCCCTTTTGTGTATAATAATAATTAAATAATAACAATAATTTCAAATATATTTATTGCACCTTTTCATCCCTTCGCGACTCCCACTTGGAACCTCCTGCGACCCAAATTTTGTGAACACCTGAAAGTGCTGAAAATATCGTTAACCAATCTTATGAAACAATACATTCCAATCTTTATGAGTAGAAACATGAGATGGGTGTATTTAATTAGCTATAATGATGTTCAGGCTAATTTTTAGTTTCGCTCTACGTACATAACTAGCTCTGATCGGAAATTAGTATTAAATGTGCTTGATTAGCTCAATTCACGTTAGCTGCAATTTTGAGTCAAACTGTATTAATGGTTGAAATGCACATATACATCTGGCCATAGTTTATTGAATATTAACAATGTTGAATTTTTAACAAAATATTTGTATTCTTTAAATCCGCACACCTTTGTTTTTTATTACATATTGAAAACAAATTAACAAATTGGCCTGAAATTTCTGAGAACAATAACATAAACTGGATTTTCCCCCACATTCCTCTTAGATTTTTTGTCCATTTTGGGTTCCAAATCAGACGCTTATAAAGTAAAAATAGCATTTCAGATGTATACATAACGTTTCTCACAAGTCACTACCCAAGAGTCTTAACGTTCAATTCCAGAACTCGCCAGTTGGGTTGGAGAATGATAAACAAAAGATTCCTCAAAATGCTATTTACATTTGAATTAGCAAATTGTTTGTGCCTGAGTAAATGTTTTAAAAATACACAAATTCAGGCGAATATATTATGTTTAAACACATGTAAATAAATTTTCTGGCCACATGGTTGGAACACTGTAGGCTGCCAACCAAATTATTCATTCTTGCGAACAGAATATTGTTAGCAGCTGTAAAAATGGGCAACGACGACCAATGACAACAAAAGTGGGCTATCACTACTACTATACGAGTCAAAGAAGCAACATCCGTTCACATATATGCATTAGCTTAATGCCAAGGTCAAGCATATCAGATAAAAACAATCCTTCTGAAACTGTGCCAATCACGTGATAATATTCCCCATCCCATCAACCAGCAGAATCAGCTATATATGTGTGCTATTTCGAGGTCTATACGCAACATCCTGCATCGGGGTCATGAAACTTGACTGATTACACGACAGAATCTAAGGTATTATACTGTTATGTAATTTCTACTGAATAATCTATGTATATCAAAGAAATACGATTCAACGCTTCTTATTTCAATAATATTTAGATAACATACGTAAAATGTTTGTTTGTAGTTAAGCACAAAGCTACACAAAGGGCTATCTGTGCTCTGCCCACCACGGGTATCGAAACCCGGTTTTTAGCGTTATAAGTCCGCAGACATGCCGCTATGCCACAGGGGGCCATGCGTAAATTTTACAGTAACTATCGAGTTGTTTTCGTACTATTTATTATTGTTGTTTTTAATGGAAAAACTACACTGGGCTATCTGCTGAGTCCAACGCGGGGAATCGAATCCAGAATTTTAGCGTTGTAAGACAAACTGTTCCTAAAGGTGAAATCCACATATTGTATCACATTGAGTAATTTTATTTTCACCTATCACAACGCTCAATGTAAAGATGTAAGCACAAAAACTGGGTGATATGACATATTTTGTATGTAAAACACGTAGGAAATTCGCTGTAATAATTTGTAGAATGGATCGCAATAGTGGCGGTATTTTTGTTTATTTTTTGTGGCTCCTTTATTGGAGATCTCGTAACCAACAAAGTAATGATTTATGTCATAAGTAATTTAGTGCATAAATAGTTTAAGAAAACGTATTTGAAAATCTTAAGATGGGGTCCATATGGTATCACATCGGTAATTCTGTAGTTAACAGCGTGGCTGCTTGAATGGTGATTCAGTACACTCTGATCATTATGGATTTTAGTTCTCTGGTGTACTGCTATAAAATTTCCTTCATTCTTTTATATTAATTATTTCCATTAACTTAGATTTTTTTTTAAGTTATTTTAATCCTGACGGATATCTGTAGATTGTTTGTGATCAAAAAGTGCTACTTCATACAATGTATACACAGGAGTGCACTCACAGAATTTTATTTTATTTTTAGAATTGAATAAAAAGATCCGAGATTAATAATACAACAATTAATCTTTATATATTTTTTTCTGGGTCCCACTGGAAGATCACGTGTTAAACCAGAAACACTGGTAAATTTAGAGGTTGCCTTCGTTCAAACATTTTATAACAGGCTTCCGATATTAACCTATGTTTTAAAATCTAAAGTGTGTCAATCGGTCATGTCACAGAGAAAATACAGAAATGCATAAATTGTAACAGTAGTAGTTTCAACATCAAAACTAATGTGATAACTGCCATTGACTTTCAAATTACTGTACTGTGTATGCATGTGTATATATAGTTATTATAATAAGGTGCAAAATCTTTATAATCATATTACTGAAAACAAACACAGTGCATTAATCACATACAACAGAAACATTTACAATGTAACACTTGTGTCACCAAAATCTCAAATGATATTTTATGTCATATGCGAGACAAAACTATAAGAAACAATACCAAATATATTAAACAGTGGGATTTCATTCTCGTTGCAAACTGGCGCCTATTTTGAAAATAAAAATAAGAATAAAGTGTTTTATCGTTAGAAGGGTACTTTTCGATTATTTGGTAAAAATAATGCAAAGTCCTGGTTCATATAATGAAAGGAAAGCGTTTTATTTTTTTCAACTGAAAGTTTTACAACTTACGTAATTTCACGAACTAACAATAACCATTCGATAGACCTAACTCACAAATAAACTGTTATTTGTTAATTTTCTTCGGGTATCTACGACACAAACTCAAAAAATGTACGGCACTGATTTGCCAACTAGCTCACTCACTAACTAACTAACTTTGATGTTTTTATACAATAATTTTTCCCAAAACTCTAAACACTCAGGAGGTTTCTAGGCTCACATGTTATCAACTACGTCTTGCCAAAACTCCCTTCAGCAAACATTAAAAGTCAAATTATAATACTAAAACATAGTTCATAACACTGCTTACCTCCCTGGATTGTGAAGCCCCACAAATAAGCAATAATATATTAAATTTAAGCTTATATAATCAGTAATAAAAGTCATTATGTTTATAATTAACAAAAATTACTATTCATGAACAGATATTACAATAATTAAATAATTAATTAAATGTGTTAAACAAAATACAGTCACAGTTCTGACTAACACAGTTCTTCATTAACTGATTTACTGTCTCTAAATTGTCCATTCCCCAATTCTTTTTGGTGGTTTTATTTTTCATGACTTATAGAACAAGACTGTCCTTTATCGTCATTTGCTGAAGTTCTTTCCAAGTAGATAAATAGTCGAGAGAATCTACTTGTTACGCTACCCTTGGTGACATTCTAGATGTTGTCACAACAGGAACTCTGAGGTTTTTTTTGTTTTGAATTTCGCGCAAAGCTACACGAG